ATCATTCTCTTCTTCCTTTAATTTTGTCAAACTCTTTCCTGCTTTCTTTTCATTAACAGTTGTTGCGCATAATCTTTCTTGAAATCAAGATTGATTAGGAATTCTCAAAAGATTTTGGGTTAATTCCAGCACAATGTAATTTTTTAAATTATATTCTTTAATTAATATTATTTTCATCATTCTCAATATTTGATAAGAGATTATATAGTAAAAATATCATTATTTTTCTTTCTTTTATTCTTTTTTTAATGTAAAAAAATTGTCAATTGAATCCCTTATTATAGGACGGAGGAAATAACTACTTATAAGTGATGAAATTGTAAAAGAAAGGGGAAAAAATAAATACAAAACACCAAAATAATACCATATTTATTTGATTTGATCAAAGGTTCAAAACTGAGCCAATACAATCCCATGTCAAATCAACCAGAAACAGTTTTAACTGTCTTTCAATATAAATGTGGTCTTTCTATATAAATGTCTTTCTATATAAATGTGGTATTTCTATATAAATGTGATTCACGTATTTTTCTCATGCCACTTTTTTACTAATTTTGAGAATTTCTTATCCCACCCCATGGGTATCTTTTACACCATGTGGTTTTCTGCAAATGCTCCCAAATTTTAGAGATACATCTCCGGACGCGCCCCATGACTTAATAATATTTCGGAGATATATCTCCGAAGAAACTTAAACCTTAAACGGTCACAACATATCTCCCATAGTCCATTTTCATTTGAATTTGTTCGGAGATGCATTTACGAAAATTTTTTGGAGATACATCTCTGAAGTGTTTCAGAACTGGTTTTTTTAAAATGCATTATATATTTGTTCGTAGATGAATTATAAAATAACAGACACACTAAAATAATATAACAATATAGTAATAGGATGTCATACATTATATAAATCCAAAATGTAATAACAATGTCAGAAAAAACGTACAAACTACAGTACTGAAATAAAACAAATACATATAACTATTTGGTGTGCCTGACAACCTCTCATGTGCCTCCTCTTCCTAGTCTGCCTCCTCGGCCATCGATCCCTCATGTCCTCGCGCGATGTATACGGTACAAAAGTGTCACATGTGACTCCGCAATAATGTCATCCAGTACTCGTCTGACAACAGACCCCTCAGGAAGATACCCTCGTCAATGAATGTCCGCACCATCTCCATTATGCAACAACAACGAGGTAAGACATCATCAGTATGATCAATCTGAGCCTTCTGCTCCTCTAGAATCTCCTGATGAGCGGATCTCTTGGAGAAAACGGCACCATGTGCGGATATAAGACTCTAAAGAACCACCTGATGTATCCGTCGATATAGCTCTAATCATTCGACATTATGGTAGCTCGAGCCTCATTTGGTACCAGATGACACTAATAATCAACAAACATCTTCTATATATATATATGAGCCAAGGCCAGAGGTGCAGAGACAGTAGGACGTATGTGGATGGTCTAGGTGTACTCGAACTGAGGCATGACGCGCTCGGGAAGATGAGGAGTAGTGACCGTCGACGAGCAGGTCAGCCATCCGGAGTATATCGATATGTTGTTAAATGGTCGCGTCTAATGGTGATCCACATAGTAGTTGAAGTGGATGTCCTCAGCAACCAAGCGGTCAAGATAGACTCTGAAAGGCTCGACTGCCTGGTTCCCTCTCAGTGGGATAAAAATACAAGCACATGACATCTCCTCAGTGTACTCATCTCAACACAACCAGTCAGTGATGCACAAGAGTTGCTGAAGGATCCAAGCATGAAATGAAAATAAAAGAGCATTTTGGGATCAAGAATTATCGCAAATATGAAATGAAAAAGATAAAAAAAAAAACAATCAAGGATAAAAAATTATTACCATCAGTAGGATCGTGCTGCCTGTGGTTTCTCTCGTTGTCCATCGACATACATCTCTCAGCTTCGAATATAGATAGGCCAAGTAAGCCCCCCCCCCCCCCCCCCCCCAGTTGTACTCATGGATTCATGTGAGATCCAAGAAGTACCGGAGGTATGCAATGTCACTGTAAGTGGCACTCGTGTCTACAAAAAGCACAGTGTCAACTATAAATAGAAATTAACACCTCAAAGCAAGACTCTTATGGATCTCCGCCTCATAGGCATCACCATCAGCCTGCGTTATAACAACGAGCGCCTCATTAAATCTCTCCTTCAGGAAGGAAAACCTAACATGAGCACCCCTAGTCCTATCCACCTCCCTCAACACCTTCATTGGATCAGACCCCAAATGCTTCACCATCATATCGACCTTCTCGTCTTTGGTCATCCTACCATGATGGAGAAATCTCCCTTTGATTGGTATATGCAACAAATACGAGACAACGTCCAGTGCAATCGACATCTCACCGTGCGAGAGATGAAAGGAAGAGATCTCAGAGTGTCATCGCTCTACGAATGCTCTAAGCATCATATGATTGACCAAAGTGTAACCAGTCAAGCATAGGTCACTCAACCCAGAAGCGGTGAGAACCGAATAAAACCACTTCGCATCAGACTGATGCAATGCTAAAATCTTTTGCCCATGGTTCAGAAACTTCTAGGGATCACGTACCTGCGAATTTCCAGAACTTATAAATGTCAACAAGAATTAATGTTAGAGATAATCAATGTCAACAATTTAAATTAATGTAAAAAAAATATAGTAACAATGTGACTAATGTTACCTCTCTATCCCAGATATGTCTGGCAGTGTGGTTTGGATACAAAGAAAGTAGGAACATATTAGATAGACCCCCTTCGAAAGCATCTGGCTTGGCATCAACAACATCACCCTCTAAAGGTGGCACCGATGCATCCTGATCAGCAAGTGCGACCGGGTCAACAGGAGGTGGCACTGGATCAACAAGAGGTGGCACAGGTGCATCCCCTTGCCTGCGGGAGGATGGGGGAAGCGACGCGTCAACTGATGCATCTCGTAGTTTGTGGGAAGAAGATGAAAAATATGGAGTGTGTTGAGACGTAGACGGAATGGCTTGAAATGTAGCTTGAGTGACCTGATATGTAGATGAAGTGGTCTGAGGTGAAGACTGAACCATAGGAGTGAAGTGAGCCTCAGGAGTACACTATATACCAACAGTCGATGCATCTTTCTGACCAGAGGTACCTGCTGCATTCGGACCTGACTGGCTCTGCTCTCGTCTAACAGATGCATGCAAGGCAACTCGTCCATGCCTCAATCGGTCGGCTCTGTCAGCCATTATGCCTACAAGATATAATATAATTAATCATACAATGAGTTTACAAAATAACAAAAATTATAAATGAAAACGAAAAAAAAAAACTAAGAAATTCTGGAGATACATCTCTAAAAAAATTCAACGTCTCATGTACACTGGGTGATTTCGGAGATACACCTACGGAAACATTCCGCATATGTATCTCCGGAATCACCCAGAATACATGAAACTGGATGTTTCCGGAGATGTATATCCGAAACATTCTGCAACTCATAGGTCGCGCAAATGGCGTCCTCTGCCCCTCAGAATCACAAATTTGAAGTCCTTATCGTCCATTTGAGCCAACAAACAATACATGCAGTTACTCTAAACTATGTTTCATCTGAAACCTAAACATTTCGACACCTAACAATAGATTCTAACTTGTTTACAATAAAACTCGAATATTTATCAGAAACTCGAAAAACTTACCCGAATTATATGATTCAGAAGATGTTGAATGATGCATTAAATGCAACTTGATTATTACTTGAGTCTCGGATAGAAGAAATCAAATTTGGTGAAATTTGAGAAATTTAGAAATGAAAGAGACAGAGAGGTTTGTGTTGTAAATAGAAATGAAAAAGTGTGAGAGGAGAAGAGTAGGTTTGTGTTGTAAATAGAAATGAAAAAGTGTGAGAGGAGAAGAGTTTGCCGCGACAATATGCTCTAAATTATTTCGAAAATATATCTCAAACATTTCAACATTCAATTGATTTTTGGTGTGTTCAGAAATATATCTCTAAAATATCTTAACGTTTAGTTAAAATATGGTGCGTCTAAAAATATATCTTCAAAAACTAAAAATATTATAAAAAATCTATATGATGTCAAAAAAACACATAGAATGCTTTAAAAAATCCTCCTAATTTTTACCTCTTTAACACTAATTTACACTAACTTAAACACAAAAGTACTACCCTTACATACATCATACATTAGAAATCTTTTTGCAATAGACATTTTCTACCTCTCATTGATTCTCTATTCCGGAATAATATTCTAATAGTATAAAAATATAATATTTAATGAACATCAAAAATGTCTTCACAGTATTTTCTAATAATAATTTATGCCATCACTATGAGCTAGTATTATTCAATTTCCAGCCGAGCAAATTTGAACAATGGATTAAAACTAACTATGAATTCATTTAACAATGGATTAAAAGTACAATTGTACATACATAGATACTGATACATAAACACTGATGCATAATCACATTCAGTTTATCTTCATCATCTCTACTTTCCTATTGGATTGTGTACACATTCTAATTTCAAGATAACACAAATACAAATGAAATTAAATGGAAAATTCAAAAAGAAAATACTGAACAACAAATCTACAAATTTTTGCCGCAATCTCAACACGAAATTCTAGTAACAGCCAACCAATGCTGTCACTTCATCCTCCCACCCACCATTCATAGATTGACCTTAGACTTACAAGGATATTTTGTTTTGTCTCTATTCTCAATGCAAAGAAAGATCCTTTCCAAACAGGAAAATAGAGAGAATATCAACAGCCGTTCCTTCCCTTCCCCATGCCACATGTAGTGAAACCTATGTTAATAACAACAAACATTTAGACTAAGGTTGCATACACATATTTTATAAGTTTTTCAAAAGTGAATAAGCTCTTCTGAATGAATCTTGAGCCTAGAAATAGTTCAGATGTGATATTGAGGGTATTGAAAAAGTAAAACAACACAAACTTACTAATGGAATCAGTTGTTTGGTGTGTCATTAAAGGAAATCAAGCTTTCACATAATCAACTCCATCGCGCTTTCTTTTGTTAGACCTTGAAAAGAAGCAGATCTGAGCCCAGGTCTTTTTCTGCTTAATTGGTAGTGGTTTAACATCTTTCTTTTCCCTCTTCTCCACAAAATCAGCCATGTACTGAACAACAGCCTAAGATGACCAATACACAAAAATTGAGATTTATAAAACATAAAAGTTTCGTTAGATTGAAATATTAAAGGAACTAGATTGCAAAAACAATACCTGTGCTCCTTTCTCGGCTATTTCTCTTGGTGGAACCTCAAGAGGATTTTCTTCAACTCGCAAGATACGTAGTTTTGTAAGCATCCTAAATGAATCGGGAAGAACCCGTATCTGATTATTGCTGATATCCAACTCTTCGAGCATTTCGAGGTTCCCAATTGATCTTGGTAAGTATCTCATGTCAGCAAAGTTGTTTCCTATGTTCATCTTGACAAGGGAGGTCGCGAAACATAAGCTCTCAGGAACGGACTCAAGTTCGTTGAAACTCACATTAAGTTCCTTCAGGTTTATCATCGATGACATTGTTGTTGGTAGTTGTTTGACGTTGTTGTACCGCACAGACAAAATCTCTAAACTCTCAATCTTCCCTACAGCTTCTGGTAGGGCTTTAAGCCGATTATAGTCAGCGTGAAGCTCTCTAAGAGAAGAACAATTACCAATAGAATGTGGAATTTCATCTATATCATTAGTTTCCACATTCAACACTCTAAGGTTAACAAGTGACCCAATAGTGTCAGGAAGCACTGAAATTAGATTTGAACTCAAATCAAGCTCCTCGAGACGTATCAATCTGCTCAAAGAAGCAGGTAAGGTTGTTAACTGGTTTCCCCTCAGATTTAGATATACCAGACTTAAGAGATTTCCAACAGAATCAGGAATCTCTGTGATCCTATTGGAATGCAAGTCCAATTTCGTCAATGATGAAAGGCCTCCAATTGTTGAAGGTATAGCCACAATCCTATTCTCTGATAAATCAAGGGTAACCAAACTAGATAACTTTCCTATTGAATCAGGTAGCCAGTCAACTTGGTCCATCAGCTTTCCCTGGAGCATGAGATCTCGAGTTCCTTTCTTCGCAGAAACCTCAATTATGCCAGCAAGTTTGATCAAACTCAACTTATCACCATCTTGACCTGTAAAACAACATTCCATCAGCAATCATATTAGCCTGCAACTTAATAATAGCAAAGTTATAAATAAAAAAAACAGATTCGCAACAGCGATCTAGGCCACAACATCAAAGTGTTTGATGTCCCTACAAACGCAATTGAGGTAACAAAGCCACATTAAACGCAGTAAACAACATCAACCACATTCAACACCGTGATTCAGAAAAATATTAAAAATTGCGGCACAACCAACCGTTACCATCACTATCTTGATTCAAAACCTTGAATATGGCTACCTAAACAAACAATAACATGAAAAACTAAATTAACATATTGAAATATCATACCTGCAGCAGTTGTGGATTTCAACGATGAATCCATTATTTGGGGTTTGGATGCAAAATTTGGTTCAATCCCATACCCGTTGGGATAGAATATAGACTTGGACTTGCTCACATAACTATCATCTCTTGTGAACAATTCAGAAGCCTTTGCAGAAACTTCTCTCTCCACATGAACCAAAGCAGAAGAAGCAGCAATTGAAGGTACCTGCTTTTCAGAAGAACCAGAACCAGAAGTCAAATTCTTCGATAAACTTGTCGAAACCGCGGAAGCAGAACCATTAGGATAAGCAATTCTCCTAGAATTCAAAGCGGCAGTAGAACCACTTGAACCACTTGGAGACGAAACACAATCAGAAGCTCTCTGAATCAATTCATCAAACAGTGAATGAACATTCTCAAGATCAAGAAGCTTCAAAGCTTCCCTCTTCTGTTCATTACTCTGAAAAAACACATAATTCCTCTGCATCTCTAACAAAATCATGAAAAGCTCATCCGACACATCATTTCCTTTCCTTTGTTTCTCTATAGATTCCAACTTAATCTGGTCATCTTTCTCAACATTCACAACCAAACCTTTCGCCGCTTCAACTTCATCAATCCCAGGTCTATCCGGCAAAGATCTATGAATCCTCATTATCTCCCCAACCACCACATCAACCGAACTCCAACACTCCATTTCTGTAACAACCTTAAAACTTCAAAAAAAAATTCAAAACTTGAACACCATAACAAAAACCCAGTTGAAAAACAACCTTATATTTATTGGGTCAAAAAATGTGAAAACGCAAACGGATTTGGGAAACTGAAAACAAAACAAAACAAAAAGAATTGACGCTAAACGACAGAGAAGAAACTACAGAAAGTTCATTCGGCTTAGAATCTCAGGATCTGAATCACAGGTTTTTATTTCTCTTGTTCTTCTTGTTGTTGTTGTTCTAGTACCCTATTTTTCTATTGTTGTTGCTGTTCTTCTTCTAGTCGTTGCTGGTTTTGTTTTATGCGTTAGTTTTTGTATTTCCGAAAATACCCTTATCTAGTTTGCGAAATAACCACGTACGCCATCACTGGTTTTTGTTTTTCTCCCACGCCCGCGGTTTTTTAATTAACGGCTTCTATCAAACTTGATTTATGAATTATTATGACATAAGTGCCGCTTTTTTTTTTCTTTTTTAATTCGTTCCGAAAATACAGGATATAGCCTAATTACAAAGTTTTACAATACTATGGGTTGGTTTCTTTTAGTGTTTTCAAAACTATTTTTATATTTTAGTTAGGTTTGTATGTAATTTTTTTTTCAAAAAGTTAGTTTGACTTGTGAATAAAGTAATTATTATAATTTTAATTGACTTTTTTAAAAAATATTTTTAATACTAGTAGTAGGTAGAAAATATATTTTATTGTGTCTATATTTAATATAATTAAAAAAGTTATTTTAAATTTAAATTTTTTCAAATATGTATATATTTTTTAATATAAATATTTAAAATAAATTCTAAATTGCTATATAAAAATAACTTTTGAAAAAACTAAAATGAAAGGTCCCATTGTTTCAAAAAAAATAAGCGTGCAACCATTTGAATCACGTTGGATTTTGATTTAAAAAGTAATTTTAATTTTTTAAATAAGATTAATTCCCAAAAAAAAATTTAAATTTGAACCATGATATTTATTTTAATTTACAAAAACTTATTCAAGTCTAATGGAAGAGAAAAGAGACAGGTGTGCATGTTGGGAAGGGGGACACGTAGACAGGCCTAGGTGTATCCAGCTGGCAAAGCAACTATTCACGCAAATGCCATTTCACTTTTTGAGAAACACAACGCGGCGTAACCTGATTAATTACCTGACTAATAATTTAATTTTGATCTTATAGTAATTAATATTTGGAGGGGTCGTGGTCATGCTCATAGTCATGGGAGTGATTGTGTTATGGCTCAAATCAATCACAATAGTAACTCTCCTTTTTATCTTATTTTATGATCTATACATCACATTCATGGTCACGTGCTGTGGCATTATCTGTCCCCTCACCATCAGGCGAACCTCATGAACATGTTACCTACCTGCTACTACTACTGCTGCATCTTCTACACACTCACTTATTATAACATTTTTTTCTTCATTCTCTTCCTTTTTGCGTATTACTAACTGCTATGTAGGTGTGGATAACACAACATGTGACTGTGTAACTGTAACATTATCTATCTCTTAGGAGAATGAGAATTTCATACCTCGTAGACATGATAAGCCAGGCAATGCCAGCACCTTTCACCTTCTATCTCATGTTCTGCGCTTGTCCTGGTCCCCTTTCATTTTTACTATTATTTTATTTAATAATATGGCTCTATGTCAATAATGACATTCATACCGCTACTATTATCTATATATTAGAGCTAATTGGGGGCACGTTAATTTTTATAAATATTTATACAAAAACGTATTTAAAAAATTAAGAATAAAATTATGGTATTCTTATACGGACATGAACAAATCTCTCAAAATATTCATCAATTTAATTGTGGATTATTTGTAAAATTTCCTACAAAGACACTTGTTTATTTCGGAATAAGCAAAACTATGTTAATTTCAAAAATAAACATCTATTTGGATAAGTATATTAGTCTATAATATTGCACGCTTTCGTATAATAATTTTAAAATAGAATAAAACAATGTCTTCAATTTAAAATTTAAAGACAATAAAGTTTTCTTTTAGAATTGAAAGGAAATGGAAAGAGAATATTTTTTAAAACGAATTTTTTTATAAAGAAATAGGAAAATCAATATTTTTTTAAAGAATAATTTTGTATCAAATGATAAAAACATCTCTATTATTATTATTATATTTTTAATTTTTAGGATATTATATCCGTTGAAATTTGATGTCGTAATTTTAAGTGCTGATATGTAGTTCAATGGTAGAAAAGTCTGATTTTCGAAGGCGTAATTGGTTATCAGATTTGGTGTAATTGGTTATCACTGAAACACAATTGATTTTGGAATTAATTCATATCAGGTGTAAGTGACTATCCATTTTGGCGTAACCATTTACAAGCTTGAGTTTTTGTTTTTTTTGTTTTTTATTGTACTTGCCAAAATGTATTCCAATAATTGTGTAATCTATATATAAGTGTGTATGGTGCACTCTTACCCCAGTGTTATATGAATTAGAACATAATTCATCCTACTTAAAACAAAAAACTGAAACGAACTCCAATAGCTAGTTTCCACTTACTTCTTTGGAGTCTACTCCTGAGTATCTTCGTGTTACCCACGTGGAGGCAACATTCAAACAGAAGGGGTGAGTAATCATAATCAATTATAATAGAAATAAGAAAGAATAGATTGCAACGATTATTTGTAACAAGTCAACAACATCAACATATCATAAACTCACACCTCAAACATCAGAAGTAACTCATATACAACTTCTATCACAAGACTCACATATAATCACATAACATTCACAAATATTGCCACATCATATATCACCAACAAAATTATGCAATGCCGCATAGAATGCTAATGCAACATCATTGACTCGATGCACGTGGTACCAAATTATGAACACTTAGGTTCATTTCATTCCATGATTTCCACCATAGGATTGATTCCCTCTTGGAACCAGAGCACACCAAATCGCTACCATCACCATTGGTAACGCTTCACTAATGCCCCATAATAGGAATTAGCTACTCGCACACGACCCATCACAATGGGATCGAGGCTCACCAAAACTCGTTACCATCACCATAAGTAACACACTTCACTAATCCCCCATCATAGGAACTAGCTAATTGCAACTCATCTCCGCCATAGGATTGAGACCACAACATAAATAGAACCGAAGTTCCAAAAACATGGATGCATGATTCACAACATGCAATAATAACACATACACATTGACTCCTCTTCTGACTCTGTATGCCACCATCAACATAATAATCATAACCACATCGTGCATATATTCGAACATGCACATCATTATCAACATTATCACAACAACGACAACAACATCACATTGTAACAACGTCATCAACATCACATCATAACAAAAAAATCAAATTTCATCAACTCAACATCTCAATAACATCATCATAATAGTGTCAACATAGCAACATCATTATCACAAAACATTACCACAACAATACCACGATTCATTATCCGAACATGTAAACTAACACTTCATCAATATAATAGGCATATAAATAGTATTTAAACTTTTCATCTATTACTATTATGTTATAGCTCTGAACGGTAGCTTTCTAACACTTCAAACGGCTCGTCAATTAGATACACGATTAAAAAGGTATAACAAAAATCGTCGAAAGATAAACAAGTTTCAAATTCAACATTTCTTTAAAATACAAAAAGCATTAACTAATTATCATCATCAACCTCAGGAAAGAATTTCATTTGATAGTAGTTCACGGTAGCTTTTCAATGCTTCAAACGATACTCGATTTGAACTTACGGATACAAAGTTATGACCGAAACAATTTCGCAATACCAATTACATGGATTTACTGCGGCCATCCGCAGTAGCTGCTACGACCCATAGCACTCCTATGCCAAAAACTCACTTTGCGCACGTCCCTGGTGCCAAAATCTAAGGGGTTACTACAGCCACCCGTAGCAGCTGCAACGGCCCGTAGCGGTGCCCAGAAAACCCCCATTTTCTCGCAATTTAGTGTGATTTTTTTCCATCCTTGCAACAGACCCCAAACCCCATGTTTTGACTTTCAACAACCCCAAAACATGTCATATCAAATAGTACATGAATCAAGTGAAAGAAACACATTAAAACATCAAGATATATATAACCAACAACTTAGTTAATATAATGTTTCATCACACGCATCATGATTCATTCATTCAACTCATGCCCTAAAATCATCTATATTCAACCCAACTCAAGAACACAATAACATTTCAATCACTTACCACTACCATTCATCATCAAACATGTATATTCAACCTTATCAACCAAAAGAAAAACTAAAACCCTATTCTACTCTTCCCTCATGTCAATCACAATTGAAAAGCATTACTCACCCTTACCTTAGAATTCTTCTAGAATTTGCTTTCTTCAAAGTCTATGGATGGATGCTCTCTTGCTTTCTCCTTTCCCTAGCCTTTCTCTCTTTTCTCCAAACTTTTCACGTACCATTGAAATTGGTTCTCTATTCTCACTTTTCCTCTTTTCTATTACTCCCAATCAGGTTTTTCCTATAATGCCCTCAACTCAACCTTGCTAATACCAGTTTGTCATTATTTTCTCTACACATATATTTCTTTCATTTAATTAAAGAATAATATAAAACTATTATTCTGTTTACTATTTTAATTCCAATTAACTTATCAATTCCCCCATATAGGCTAATTAATCAATTTCCCTCCAATATTTCTTTTACTCCTCACTTAAGGACACATACCCCACCAACATACAATAATCGAAACATCATAAAAAAGCATATTCAACAAATAAAGCATCAAAACATCTACTAGAAAATTTTGGGTGTTACATGAAATAATCAAGCATAAGGCTCGATAAGTGGCTAAGGAATTTTGCAAAGGGAAGACATAGACTTTGAAGAGGTATTCGCACCGCTTGCTCATATTGAAACTATTAGGCTTGTTGTTGGTATTGGAAATAACCACAATTGGCCTATCTACC